TTTTTTTTTTTTTTACAATATTATTTAATAAAATGGTATACAATTTTAATATCAGCCATTTATTGGTTAAATAAATTACTAAAATAAATTAAAACCAAAATGAAAAATTAAACCTAACCTTAAAAATGTTATCACTATAGGCCAGAATTTTAATATTGGTGCATAATGGTACATATGTATGTATTTATTTTTTACTTGATTGTTAATCTGTTTTTGTCTCAATTATGACATTAAATAGTTATCAAATTTAATGAATACTGAATTGTGGGAGTCTGAATAGTTTCACACATTCATAACATCCACATAGACATTTTATGAAGCAGGTATTCTAGATGAAAGTAGTGATCAATAGTCCTGGCCTTTTTCATCATTCTTATGCACTCCTGTTTTGTTTTTCCAAAATCCACAGGAGGTTTGTAAAATCTTGGAGTTCTGTGTAACATTCTGCATCGCCCAGACTCAAAGGAGCTGCACAAAATGTGCCCTTCCCATCTTCAGGTATTGTCATGTCATGTCTTGTTTCTTATTTATCTATTGATATGTCTCACCATCTGTCTTTTTGTCTCTATCTGTGTGTGTTTCCACCCATCTCGCCTTTGTCCCTCTTCTCTTTTGACGCTTAAGTGTTTTGTTGTCTCTAAATAAATGAGGTGGGTGAGTTTTGCCATTCTGACACTGGGCTTTACTTACCATCTGATGGGAGGCTTTACCAGCAGTGACACAATAGAGACAAACAGAGAGGAAGAGGAAACAGCACTCATATTGTTCTGGGATCTTCACAGCTACTTCATTAGGGGATATCTGAATAACCTTCACACAGACATGTTAAACAAAACAAAAAAAATAGCCGAAAGCCCAAAAATGCCATATCGAAAATATTAGCATTTCAGAATGTTATGACTGCTATTGTTAACAACAGAAATGACTAAACTGAAGGTCAGGACATTAATTTTCAACACAAATCACTAAATTGTTGCGTCTTATGAGGCTTTAGAAGCTGTCAGTGCAGTTTGTCCCTCATACCACTCGTATGATTATAATGAAAATACAGTGGAATTTATATTTACACTCTAATATTTGTAAGTATCAAAAGGTTGAGGCGTAATTTGCGTGACTGCAGGATCAAAAATTTCCTGACACGTCAGGTTCAGTGGACTATGTACATGCTCAGAACAGATGGCACCCAGGTTCCCAGGTTCAAGTCTGGTCCCATTCTCCCACCCACCACTACATTCTACTTTCCTATAAAAATAAAAGCAAAAATCCCCAAAACAAAATAAAGTTAAAACCGTTGCCTACATTTGCAGTACCTGAATTGGTAGTTAACCTGGTTAACCCACCAGCTTTAACCAAGAATAGTCTAAGCTGACTGGTTTGGTGCCACTCTAGTTATTGGACCAGCATAGGCGTTTTATTCATATTGATCAGCCATGTTGGAAGCTGGTTGACCAAGTGGTTCCTACTGGTAAAGCTAGTTGAGACGCATGCACTATCAAAAAATGTGTTGCCTTTGTACCTTATCTACCCCTAAAGTATACTGGTACTTAAATGGTTGATATTAGTAACCCAAGGGTTGATATTAATAGCTTAAGGGTATATTTTAATACCTTATGGATTGATACTAGTAACTTTTAGAAACAAAAAGGGTTTAAATTACTTGACTTGAAGGTATGTATTATTATCTTAAGGGTTGAATTTTATAAATTAAAGGTACATATCTAGTACCTAGTACCTTAAAGTTTGGTTTTCAGAGTTAACGTGTTCATATTTGTATCTGAAGGGTCAATATTCATAATTTAAGAGTAAATATATGTATTACTACCTTAAGAGTTGATATTAGTAACTTAAGAGAACGTATTAGTACCTTAAGGGTTGATATTAGTAAGTTAAGTTTACATATTAGTTCCTTAAGGGTTGACATTTATAATTTCAGCATTCATATTAGCATCTTTAGGGTTGATATTCCTTACTTAAGGGTATATATTAGTAACTTAAGAGATGATAGTGACTTAAGAGAGCATATAAGTGTCTTAAAACAAGGTAGGAACCCTCATCCCAAACCTAACGTATGTTGTTCTTTTCAACAGGTATCACACAGGACCGACAGTCTTCAAAAACAAAAGATATTTGAAGACGCCTCTGCACCAAGACATTTTAGTGTCCCGCAGCCTCCGTGCAGGACATCTTCATCTTTTGTTGACCTGGAACATCTCAGACCACAGCTGGTGCACGTCCCACCGAACTCTTTTTCCCAAGCTCGGCGCAGAATCACCCCGTTGCCCCTGCGGCCCCCTTTCGTAGCCTCCTCTTACCTTCTCTTTAAACAATCCCTCCCTCTCATCTTTTCTTTAAACAACCTTTCCCTCTCTCCAACAGGCTGCCCCACACACTCACTAAATGAAGTTAGTCCAGCACCCCCCTCCCCATCCTCTTCTGCTCCCTACCAGACACACTCACAGAATTGTTTGTTAATAGTCCAATTAGATAATTGCCATCTTTCACTCCTTTTGCTCTCCGTTTCCCATAAAGGACTGAATGGCTTCGGGAGGGGGGGAGTTCAGCATGAAGAGGGCCTCTGGCCCTGCAAGGTGACAAGAAGGGTCCGAGCCTGTTCCCTGCTCTCAACCATTGGCTTGAATTGAATCATTGTAGCCTAATCAATGGTCTTATTGGATTACAGACCACTGCTGTTCCCCCAGATATTGTTGCGTTGACAATGAAAATAGGCGAGACTGAGTGGGTGGGTGTGTAGTAGTGTGGAAAGAGTGGGAGAGAAGAGGAGGAGGGGGTCGCTTTGGGTGTTAGCGTTGGGATCTCGGGCAGGTTGAGTTTTTTAGCAGTGCTTTAACAGGTTTCTTGTAGGATAAGGAGGCTGAGTTACCGTAACGTCCAGTTTGGGGTTGTATTAGAGGTGTTGGGTAACTTGGGGTGGTTGTTGCACACTGTCCCCAGCTTGACAGAGTTCCCTTGTGTTCATCTCTTTCTTTTGTGAATCCGTGTTCATTACCACTACAGATTCCGAGCGAAGTGGATTCCGTTTTTTTTTTTCGTATTCCAGGTCTCTCCGCCTCCCTCATTCTTTTTCTCTCTCTCTCTCTCTTTGCTCTCCACCGGTCTTTCCCTCTCTCTCTTTTCGCTCTTTGCTTGTATTAGCTCCAAGGGTGCAGCGTGTGGTACCGGGCCATTATCCGGGGGGAGATTCGCCAGCCTGCTCGTTAGCCCAACCAAACATCTACAGCCTGAGAGAAGGGGAACGACCTGTGCCGGGGCATCGAGGAATGAAGTGAAACTTTTCTGGTGGTCCTTTGGCTCTGTGATTGTGCGTGGTGGCGATTCGAGTCAAATCATCTCCCTTGATCCTGTGCGAATGAGGGCGGAGAGGGGGGTCGGAGTGAGTGAACCCCTCTATCAGGACAATGTGCATTTCCCAAACAATTTAGAGTATTCATGAGGTTACGCAAATGTGGAGGCAGCAAAATTACCGTAATCAATTGAAGCGGCGAGCATGCGTCCGTCCACAGCTCTGATTACCCGGAGATCAGCCTGATGTGAATGTCACAAGGAGAGGAGCTGTTAAATTGCTGTTGAATTTGGGTGAGAAGTCTATGATCATTGGGCAAGTGAGTCTGCACAGAGATAATAGGGCAGATCAGTGGACCAGGAAAGTGCTGGTGGCACATTAGCTATCTGACTTCGATTCAAAGCTGCTGTTTTACAGAAAGACCAAACCTGTATTATCCAGAATAAGCCGTGTGTGTCCATACTCAAATAGTTATTTCTTCCCAACAAGGAGAAAAAGAAGGAGAAATCTTTGCAGAGGATAAGAGACTATGGAAGTCCGCTACAGCCAAGACTCGGAGTCCGGAATGTTGGTGAAGAATGGACTAAAAGAGGGGAAAGAGGGAAAGGATTCCCAGGGGAACATTTCAAAAACGTTCCTGAAGGACCAGCAGGAGTCCTTCTCTCCATCCGAACCGGTGGAAAACTGCGAAAAGAGCCGGACGAGCTCAGCAGATCCTGATTACTGCCGGAGGATTCTAGTTCGGGGTAAGTTTAAAAACACTCCTGTGGAGCTTTTTGTACATTTTGTACTCCACAAAAAAAAAACAGGAAATGGACTTAATGGGAACTTTTAATTTTGCTTTTTGTGATAGTTCCTGTTCTGAGTCGCTGGTTTAGTTTAGTTTTTTGTTTTTTTCCTCCAGCAGTGAGTGTGTATAGATTTGAGCATGCACAAGTGTACATGGTGCAAATTGATCTATGCTGCATTGAGAACAGGACTAAATTGGTTTTGTATTAAAGAAAAAAATTATGATCGTTATTTTGTCAGCTTTATGATCCAATTTCTCCATCGCAAATATTTAGAAAATGCTATTTAGAATAATTTCAAATATGTATTACCATTATTGACAAAAACACTCAAATAAATAGAATAATTATCCAATCTGGAAAATAATTAGCACTGTACAAAATGATTGTGAATTTTTTAATTTCTTTACAGTACAGTTTCTGTGATTGAGGGATTTAAGAAATTTGGTTCTTTTTATACATAATGAAAAATAGCTGATAGCATAGCTGATTATGTTAGTTATCATTAGATGGTCTT